TGCTACCTTGCCGATTGGCCAGGAGTTGGTTCGCGTAGCCTATGAACCTCCGGTGACGAGTACGGATGTTAATCCGACAACAAAATCTACAGTTGAGGGTCCAGGTCTGGAATCAAAGCCAGAACCAGCTGCTACACCTGAAGCCATGAGCAAGTTTCCATTCGCCCAGGTTAATGATGACAAATGGCGGATAATTGGAGACGAGCTTCTTCGAACTACATCAACAGGGGATTCCGAACTCCTATTCGGAGACCCTCGATGGACGGACTACGACCTGACGATGGAGGCTCGCATCGAAGAAGGTGAGAAACATGGCATAATCATTATTTTCGCGCGTAACTCTAAGAATCATGGTCGTAACCTCTCCATCGGAGGGCTAGGACTAAGGGTACTTCAATTCGATTCTTGGCGGGGAGATTGGGACCCCGAAGTCCGAGAGTCGACACATTGGGATATGGAATCGGGAAAGTGGCATCCGATTAAACTGGTGGTGCGTAGTGGCAAAGCTACGTGCATGGTTGATGGCAAAATACTCTCTAGCGAAGATCCTGAGTTGCCTGCTGGAAGAATCGGTTTTCGCCTCATAGAGACTGCAGCTCGTTTCCGCAACATAGAAGTCAAGCGACCTGATGGTAGAGTGCTTTGGTCTGGACTGCCAAAACTGCGAGATCTAGTACAAGATGCTGAAGTACCACACGTGCAAGAACCCGAATCGGGTCCCGTCGTCGTTTCGGTTGGAGAGCTAGTTCCCTCTGATGTAGAAGCCCGCAGAGCTGAGATTTTTGGGGGAAGCTGGACCATTGAAGGCAATGAATTAGTCCAGTTATCGACCGAACTTGAGATCAAGGGGATCGCGTTCGGAAATATAGCTTGGGGAGATCTCGACTTCTCAGTAGAGGTGAAATTCCCGGACCACCCCAATCCACGAGTCTATGTGGCGTTTAATGGTACTACTCCCACCCACTATCGGGCCTTGAGGCTCGGTCTCACCTCTCAGGATCTCTATCGCATCAACGGAGATGAAGTTGTCCCGGTGGAAACCATACAGCGAGAAGTATCTCCTGGGTGGCACGAGGTAAGGATTAAGGTGCGTGGAGGTCAATGCGAATGTTTAGTGGATGACAAGGCTCTTTTTCGACCCCAGTTCGATGGACTCTACAGAGTTGGGCGCATCGGCTTTGGAACATCCGGAACCAGCGGCAGATTTCGCAATATCAAAATCACAGACTCTAGTGGGGAATTGCTTTGGATGGGCTTGCCTGAGTTGCCAGAGAAGTCAGACGCGACAGCAGCAGAGGATTCGACTGATCCCCTGCGCGAGGATGCCCAAGAGGCAAAAGGGCCTAAGACCTTTGACCTAGATCGCTGGCACATCTCTCAACCCTCCTTGTTACATGCCGAAGAAAAAGGAACCACCATTCAGGCTGGCTCCACGGGCAACTTTTTTATGTCGAAAACTGCTTACGGAGACGTGAATCTCGATCTGGAATTGAAAGCACAAGAGGGTACTGATGCATGGCTCATCTTTCGAGGCAAGAAAGATGGCGAAAAGTGGACCGGAATCACTTCAAGAATCTATGACAATGGTGAAGCCATTTCAGCAGGTATGCAATTTCACTCTTATGATTTTGCAGAACACGGAATGCACCCAGAGCATGCTGAATACGACGTTCCCTTCCATCTGCATGCCAATCTAAAGAATGAAGTTATGTGGCTTAAGGTGAACGACGTCACCACCTCGGGTGTGTCCTATCGGCGACGATGGGAAGAGACAAGTGGATCGATCGGGCTCTATGTTGAGCGTGGCGCTGTCACTATTGGCCGCTTTGATGTTAATGGTTCCGAGGCGATGCGAGCTCGTGTCAAGCGCAGCAATGGGACTGTATCAATTGCAGAACCGCAAGAATCCGAAGATCCGGAGATCATTAAACTCAATGAAGCCAAAGCAGCCTATGAGGAAGGTTTAGCCGAAGCCAGAAAAGCCTTCATCGACAGGCTGAAGCGAAGCGAAGAGCTCGCGCGGACAACGCCGGATAAAGAAGAGAAACGCTCGCAAAGGTTGGCATTTGAGAACCAAGGCACTATCCCCTCAGGGGGAATATCGAAAGAGTACGAGAGAGAACTCTCGAAGCAGGAGAGTCTCCTGCAGCATCAATACTCTGAAGCCAGAAAAAGCTTCAAACGTAATGGCCAGTGGTCCGACGCGGAGGAGGTCTTACGAGAATGGGTAGGAGCGCCGCAAGATGCGGAGTCTGATCGCGGGCGATTTTACAAACTCTTTACAGACGTGGTGACGTGGCAAGAAGCTCAAGACCGTTGCCGTGAGCAAGGGGGCCACTTGGCAATCGTTACGAGCCCTTCTCAAAACAATCTTATTGCCACACACTTAAGCGTTGCAGAATGCTCATCGGCATGGTTAGGTGCAAACTACCAACGCGAGGAGCGTAGCTGGAAGTGGGTTGATGGGGTTACAAGCAGATACACAAACTGGCAGGCTGGACAACCTCTTACCAGCAACAAAGACGATCAATATCTTATGATGGTAGTTGAGCAAGACAAGGGAATGTGGGTTTCCCAGCCGAATCGAGCATCAAAATATCAACCCGGCTTTGTCTGTGAATGGTATAGACACCTTGACTGATAAGGCATCACCGTGCCTTTTTTCGAAAGCATAAGAGACTTCTACTCCCTCTAGGAACCGATTATGCAAATCCAAAAAACCCGCCTCGAATCTGACGAGGATGTGCAGCAGGCTTTGAGGGCATATAGGCTGGGTGGAAAGGCGGAGGCGAGTAACGGTTCGGTCAAGGCCGACGATGCCCCGCCGATGTTTCGACCTACCGAGCGGCCTGCCATGGCTGTGCTCACGGTGTTCGATGATGGTGTAGAAGACGGGGAACAAATTCGCATCCGGCAGGACGAGTACGTCATCGGTCGAGCAAATGGGGATTTCGTTGTGCCACACGACGGCCAGATGTCGAGCCGTCATGCCAGTATTAAGCGAGTGATTTCTGGAGAAAAGCTACGTTGGCACCTAGTCGACCTTGGCAGCACGAACGGAACCTATGTTCGCATCAATCACGCAGTGCTATCGCATGGGCAGCAGTTCATTATCGGTCGCACCCGACTCCAATTTGACAATCCACCTGCAACGGATTCTGCCGAGCCCACAAGTGCAGATCAGACTACGCGACCTTGGCAACGCGGCGCTAATGTGGGCCTTGTGCCCTCGATGGTTCGATTGGAAGAGCAAGGTCCGGGTAAGCGGGTGATGCTCGCTCAAGGCGAGGCCTGGGTTGGCAAAGATTCTGCCTACTGCTCGATGACTCTCACCGATGACCCTTTCGTAAGCGCGAGACACGCCCGAATCCGCCGTGACGACGAGGGACGGTGGCTTATTGAGAACAACAAGTCGCCGAATGGGGTGTGGTTACGCGTGGAGAAGATCCGGCTTACTGGTTCATGCCGGTTCCTTCTGGGTGAGCAACAGTTCATGCTCAAGATTTCATAAGCCGAGAGTTACGAATGTCTAATCGTACTTGGATTGTAGGCAGCAGCCCTGTATGCGACCTTCGCGTTGAGGCCTCCACGGTTTCAGCGCAGCATTGTCGACTAACGGAGTGCGGTGATGGCTACCTACTGGAAGACCTTGGTTCCAGCAACGGAACACTCGTCGGGGGGCAACGAATTGCCTCACCCACAATCGTGAGACGTAACGATACGGTTACACTGGGGAAAACGGTCGCGCTGCCTTGGCCACCGTCATCGACCTCGATCACAATTGGCAGGTCCTCAGAGAACGACTTGGTCATCGACTTCGACGCGGTTTCGAGCACCCACGCCCGCTTGGAGCGAGAGGGGAACCAACATTATCTAGTCGATTTAGGATCGACGAATGGTACGGCAATACATACGCCCTCCAATAAGATCTCTCGAGCTCCGCTTTCACGTAAGGATGCGGTTTTCTTTGGAACTCACCGTGTTTCTGCAGCTGAGCTGATCGCATGCCTGCCACGAGATATTCCCCGCGCGGCAACGGTTCTCGAATCGTCTCCCCTGAAGCCTTCCATCTTCGAGGACAATGAACCCCCAGCCAATGATTCAGCCGGTGCATCGATCCCTGCTTTGCCCGAAGGCTTCCGCTCCACGAAATCTTCGTTAATCGGTATCGCAGTTAGCGTTCTTTGCCTTTGTGTCATTTTTGGAGGCAAGCGGCTGTTGAGCTCCGGAGTAGATGAGCAATGGAATTCGAGTTCCCCAGAGAAAGCAGTTGGCGAAAGGGACAGTTCGGCCAAGCGGTCGACAACACAATCGACGACTACTAGACCCTCTGGCACGGAGCTAATTGATTTATCGTCGATGCCTGATGAAGCTGCTATCCGTTCGGCAGAGCCTAGTCTCGGAGTATTGGGATTACGATTCGGCGGAAGCGAGTCGTACTTGACTCGAGTCACTACGTGGTCTTTTGCTCCCAGCTATGCTCTGTGCCCCACTAAGCTATTGGAAGACTTGCATGCGGCTAAAGAGGACTCAAATGAAGTCGACGAAGCTGTGTCGATCTTTCAGCGAGGGCGTCAGGTGGCAATTCTGGAACATCAGGTCGGAAAGGACTCTGCGGAGGGGTTCTCTCTCGTAAGGCTCGAAGCACCACTAGAAGCGATATGCAAGATCGATAGTGCCAAGCCCGTGAATGTAGTGCCCGGGCAACACCTAGCTATGCTGGGCGTTCGGGCAGCCATCGAGGATAATCCCGATTCAATTCAATGCGAGTTCGTCCGTCTGACGGTCGACCGCATTGAACGTGACGGTGACGGAACTCCCATGCTGCTCTATTGTCGGCCTGAAGAACCCCAGGACGATGTCAGCGGGGCCCCCATATTCGATTCTGTCGGCAGCGTAGTTGGCTGTGCGGTCTCCGCCAATCGAGAGGTGGTCGTCATGCCGATAACTCATTTGGCCTCATTAGCAGAAATTAATCCCTAGTCGGACCGAGGTGAATCATGGTTTACCGCAGTCTTATTGTCGGATGCTTTTTGATTGCACCGCTCGTTACGAACTCGACCAGTCAAGCCGAAGACATCGACTTGACTCGCCTGAACGAGCGGAGGGAGTCTGCCGAGGCACAAAGAATTCGCTCAGCCGAAGCTTTGCTGAAAGAGAATCGCAAAGAGATTGAGAGGCTGCAAAAGCGATTGGATGAAACTCGCAAGTGGACCCAAGCCCAATTCAATCTGGCAGAGCGCGATGAAATCAATAAGCCTGAGCTTGTCTCTCAGTTGATGCAACGATGGCAGAATCATCGGGAACAGGAAATCCATCGATTGCTTCAGTTTCCAGATAAGAGTGCCGGGGGAATCGAGTCGGGGAAAGCCTTAAATACCCTGTTGAAACATGTGGGGGCGGCGGCTTATCAGAATGACATCGCCCGTCGGGCCAACCCCGATCACGCAACCCCGCTGTATGAGGCAACTGCCTCCACGCTTGTCGATGGAGATCTGCTTAAGCATCTTTCTTATCAGTCGAAGACATTGGGAGCAAAAGCAGTCGGACGCTTCAATGATGCACCCATGGATATCAATTGGCCTGCGGAGCTGAAGCACGAACGTTTTGAGAAGCATCGGTCGATGATCGAAACAGGACGAGATTCGCTACTCAACCAATTAGGGTCGAACCAGGGGATCACGCCCGAATTAGAGGCACAGCTCCGCGAAGCAGTGGCCGTTTTGAATCGAGACTTTCAGCAGTATCGAAAAGAGTGGATTCAGAGCCCACCATCATCTGGCGAATCGCGGTCCCACAAGTATCGAGACCTCTGCAACGCCGAGCGGCACATTAACAAGCTTGTTTGCACCGTCTACCAAGTGGTCGAGGCTTCCGGCATGAAGGATGTGATGCCCTCAGAGGAGTTTAAGCCAGGCAACATCGAAGCATTCTTGGCCTACATGCAACGTCACAACATCGAGTTCGCCGCCCCGTCCAACGCGATCGACCGCAAGGCATATTACCAGGTTTTCAACATGATGGTGCGCTATTACCTAGATCTCGCCGCCGCCGCCAAGGCAGAGGAATTACTAGAGGAAGAGATTGACTACTTGAAGGAAACGGACAAAGAACTGACAGATGTCGTTCTAGGAAAGACCCTCTCCGCTGAAACTCAGGCGTTACTAACAATGAAAGAAATGGACTTCATAATGAAGGAATTGGACTTTGTTCAGAATCTAACAGAGAGTGATTGAAGGCCGTGAAACTTCAAGGATCACTGCGAGAAGGACGAGACGCACGAAGGTGGTACAACCAGTAACGATGTCCCATGGTGTCCTTCTCCCTAACGCGACTAAATTAGTTTGGTTCGCAAATGCTTCGATCGTGAACATCACCGGGAAGAAAAACGTAGGCGCCAGTGCATCTGTCTAGCTGATCAACGGTAAATTCTTGGCCGTCACGCTCGATACTTCATTTAGCAGCAACCATTTCGGCCAATCAAATCCTCGCGCGGGAACAACCGTGGACTGGACTAAATTGACCAAGCGCTGCTAAGTTGGCCCGTTGAATGTTTGGGCTCGACGAATTCTTAGCCTGCCGAAGCCCTTGCAGCGGAGCCGATCTTTAGGCTGCGACAACCAGGCCCAGTAAATATAGGGACGTTGCCAGTTGGCCCTATAGTCCGGCCCGTGGGAATCCTGGTGGTGTGACGGCACATCGCCGAGGCGGGCTGGACCGCCTGCAGTTCGTTCCAGCCAGAATTGAATGAAGGTGGACCAGCACATGCAACTTCCGGCACTGGCGAAAGCGCCGCGGTGTCCCGTCGGCACCGGCACCTCTTTCAGTTCTACGGAATCCTCAGCCGCACGAGCCGATCCAACCGCTGCCGGAAAATGTAAACGATTGTCTCCAAGCGGTATCCCATTCACCAATTTTCTGGCTTGGATCGCAGATCCTGCAAGGTCGTAGATCCGCCACTTGGTTACTGCGTTGGGCCTACAAGGTGCGAGGCACATTTCTTAGGAGCAACTACTTGTTCGGCGGTTCCTTCAAGTGGCAAAATGATGTCGGAGGTTGGGGCGGTTGCAACCAAGTTTCTTATTGAGACGTCGAGAGCGTCAATGGCTAATCGGATATTCAGGATTTAGGAAAGGAACCGCGCGATGGCCGATGTTAGTGACCTAGTGCAAAGAATCCGTAATGAGTTTGCTGAAAGTCAAGAGAAGCTGAAGAAGTTCCAGAAGAATCAGGTCGAGGCACATCATGAGAAGTTAGATCGCCTTGAACGGCTTGAACAGATCTTTGATCAGCTTCAAAAGGTATGGCGACCTCGGCTAGAGGCTCTAGCCCATGAATTCGGCGACCGTTTGGAAACCACGCCAAAGATCAGTAAGGGGCAACGTCAAGCCGCCTTTAAGGTGGAATCGTCGCTGGCCAGGATTCGGTTGAGTTTTGCTGCACTGTCGAATCCAGAAGTTACCGAATTGATACTGATCTATGATCTGGAGATATTGCCGGTACTGATGCAATTCGAGCGACATGCAGAGATTTCGTTTCCCCTTGACGACATCGACCCAGAAGCGATTGGCAAGTGGTTTGACGATCGCATTGTAGGATTCGTACACACATATCTTGCCTTACATGAGAATGAGTACTACCTAAAAGACCACATGGTCGAAGACCCCATCGCGCACGTGCGTTTTCCCAAGTTTGCTGCAGGGGCAACCCGAAATCGACAAGGCAATACCTACTACTTCATCAGCGAGGAAACGGCAGCAGATTTCGAGAAGCAAGCGCGTTAGAAATGGGGCAGTCCGCTTATCCAGTTTTTCCGTGAGTTCGCCATGAAAATCGCGGTGTCGACCTTCTTCTCGGCCGTGAACTCACTCACCTTCAGCCCGGCTTTGAGCGGGCTGTTGTTGCGGCCCAAGCATGAGCAGCGCAACCCGCTGTCCCGTTTGTCGAATGCGCTGTTGGGCTGGTTCTTCAAGCTGTTCAATCGGGGCTTCAATCTCGGAGCAGATTACTACTCGCGCGGTGTCAGCCTGCTACTGCGGGGCAGCTTCATCGTCCTCCTGGCCTACGGAGGTTTGTTGTTTCTCACTTATGTGAGCTTCACCAGTGTGCCGACCGGTTTCATACCTCAGCAGGACAAGGGATACCTGTTAGTCAATGTTCGACTCCCCGACTCCGTATCGTTGGAGCGAACTGAGGCCGGAATGGCGCAAATAGACGAGATCGCCCGCGGCCAAGGTACATCAAGTAATCACTCTGTCGAGAAGGTCGATCGGGACACCCAAGAAGAGCACAGCACAGGCGGCAGCATTCCCGGCATCGCCCCACGATTGTCATTTCCAGACAGTCATCCGTGCAGAACGCGATTGGCTCGAACTACGGTTTCATCTACGTCATTTTAGATGATTTTCATCACCGTCACGGTGCCGACTTAAACGCCGATGCGATTGCCGCCAAACTACGAAACGCCTGTTACCGTGATGTGCAAGAAGCCTCCGTTGCCGTCTTTGGCGCTCCGGCCGTCGAGGGTCTCGGGAATGCTGGTGGCTTCAAGTTGATGGTTCGCGACATTTGCGATCTTGGGCTAGACCTGTTGCAGGCAACATCCGAAGACCTTGTAGCAGAGGGGAATGATCGGCCCGCACTTGTAGGTTTTTACACTGCATTCCGTGCCCGAACACCCCAGATGTATGTAGACGTAGACCGAAAGCAGTGCAAGCAAATGGGAGTGCCCCTCGACGAAGTCTTCCTTACGCTGCAGCTCTATCTGGGTGGGTATTACACTAACCATTTCAATCGGTTCGGCCGCACATGGCAAGTGAATCTACAGAGCGACCCCGAGTTTCGATTGACACCCGATCAGGTACGCCAACTGAAGGTCCGCAACTCCGAAGGCGAGATGGTACCACTGGGAAGTGTTGTCAAGATTAGCCCCACGGGTGGGCCAGCAATGATCGTCCGCTACAACGGCGTGACGGCGGCCGCTGTGAATGGCGGCTCCCTCCCTGGGGTCAGTTCGGGAACGGTCATCAGCACAATTGACACGCTGGCTTCGAGAGTTCTACCGCAGGGCATGAACTTCCAATGGACTGAGTTGACCCTGCTTCAGATCTTGGCGGGGAACACTGCGATTGTGGTGTTCGGGCTCGCGGTCGTCTTGGTGTTCCTTGTCCTTGCAACTCAGTACGAGAGCCTGACTTTGCCTCTGGCCGTAATTCTTGTAGTCCCGATGTGCTTGCTATCCTCGGTTGCTGGCGTGGCCTGGGCCGGGATGGATATCAACATCTTTCTGCAAATCGGCTTTGTTGTGCTGGTAGGTCTAACCAGTAAGAACGCGATTCTGATTGTCGAATTTGCCAAAGAGAAAAGTGCCCAAGGTGCTTCACCTACTGATGCGACGGTTGAGGCATGCCGACTTCGTCTGCGTCCAATCATGATGACATCTTTAGCTTTCATTCTCGGCGTGGTGCCTCTGGCGCTCGCTGTAGGCGCGGGAGCAGAAATGAGAAAATCGCTAGGCATCGCGGTCTTTTCCGGTATGCTCGGAGTAACATTGTTTGGACTCCTACGGACCCCGGTCTTCTATTTCGTCATCGTGAAACTCACAGGGGACCGACATGGCTCAGGAAAAGTTAGCCGTCAAGGTCATGTTGAGAATGACGGCGTTTCTTTCGCTGAAGCAACGCCATTGGCTACGTCGTAATTCACCACGCCCGGTCAGCCAAGGTCAGGTGCTGGAGACTAATTTAAGAGTTTTGCCAGTCATCGTTCGTCGTGATAACCTTACGAGTACCTAGACTCCTTGGTCGCAATGGAATCGAGAGCTGGGTTCGAATGGGACTCGAATGCGGAGTGAAGATAATGATGCGCATAACCTTCATTGCAGTCGTAGTACTGTCGTGCTCCACGGTTTGCTTAAGCAGCGAACCCGATGTACAAAGTCCAGATGAGATGGCGATCCATGAAGCGGTAAGAGCCTACATTACTGCCTTTAACCAAGGTGATTCAAAAGCCCTCTCGTTGCTATGGACACCGCAGGCCGTCTACACAAATCCGCTCAGTGGCGAACAAATCTCAGGGCGTGAGGCCATCGAACAGCAATTCACCGAAATCTTTGCGGAAGCGGAAGTTGCCACCTTAGAAGCGACTACCGATAGCATCCAATTCGTGTCACCAGGAGTAGCGATCGAGCGGGGAACTGCCAAGGTGGTCCGGCCGGATAAGCAGCGGGAAGTAAGCCGATACACCGCGGTCTACGTCAAGTTAGATGGCAAGTGGCTGCTGGATCGCGTGTCCGAAGAAAATATAATGGAGCTTCCCTCCCACTTCGAGCAACTCAAGTCCCTGGAGTGGCTCACCGGCACTTGGGGCGACCAAGATGAGTCGGCCACGGTAGTTATCGACTGTTACTGGTCTCGCAACGAAAACTTTCTGGTTCGATCGTTTACGATTCAGATTCGTGACAGCATCGAGATGGCCGGCCTGCAATTCATTGGGTGGGATCCATCGACGAAAAAGATTCGCTCTTGGGTGTTTGACTCCGATGGCGGATTTGGTCATGGAACCTGGTCGAACAAGGGTAACATGTGGTACGTGCAGCAAAGTGGTGTTCTTCCGGATGGACGGATCACCTCGTCGGTAAATGTTATCACTTATCTCGATGACACTACCTGCTCGTTGCAATCCATCAACCGATCAGTCGATGGAGAACTCCTGCCAAATGTTCAAGAGGTTGTTCTCACGAAGGAGTCCTCTGAGAAATGAGATCCATTAGTCGAATTGTTTTTCTGACGTTCGCAATTGTGCTCATGCTGATAGACGATGGTTTGGCCCGAGGGGGCCGCGGGGGCGGTGGCCGCGGCGGGGGCGGAAGAGGTGGAGGAGGTGCCTCACGTGGCGGATATAGTCGGCCAAGCGGCGCAGTTAGTCGCTCGCCAGCTGTGAGCCGTCCCACATCTTCATATAGTCGCCCTCGGGCTCCTAGCACGCGTCCAGCAACGGGCGGCGGACAACCCAGAGCAGGCCAGCGTCCAACGACTGGCGTGCGACCGGGAAGTGGTACTCAAGCCCGCCCGGGGCAAACGCCTGCAGGCCGGCCGACAGCTGGACAATTGCAAAATTTTCTTGACCTCGGTCCTCCTTCCTCGCCATCAACTCGCCCGGGAAATGCTGCTTCTCAACGGCCAAGCAATCTCCCCGGCAGCGTAGCCGGAGGAGTTGCGGGGGGGGCAGCCGCCGAGTTCCTTCGCAGTTCCGGTCCTCGAGCAGAGACATTACCCGGAGCAGGCCAACGTCCGGGGGCAGGCGATCGTGCGGGAGCGAATCGTCCTGGAGCGGGGCAGCGCCCGACAGTCGGTGGGCATGCACGTGTGCAAAACCTTCCATCACGGATCAACAACCGACAAGAATGGCACGACAATCGAATGCAGAGGCGCGATGAAATTCGCGACCAAGTTCAAGAAAACCACCCCAGGCTCGATTTCTGGTCTGACCACCCAGGCTGGGCCGCGTGGAGGATTAACCGACCTTATCGGTGGGCGACTTGGGCTGCCATCACGGGTTGGGTTGGTTACGGTTGGAGCGATGCGACGCCTTACAGTTATGGCGAAAACGTCTATTACGATGATGGCTCGGTGTACTACAACGATGACGTAGTAGCCACCGAGGAAGAGTACGCTCAGCAAGCCGAAGACATAGTGGCGGCGGCTCCTCAGGTTGCACCGGCATCCGCCGAATGGATGCCGTTGGGAGTGTTTGCGCTGACGCCCGACGGACAAGCATCCGGCCCTGATCCGTCACTCTTCCTGCAACTAGCAATCAGCAAAGAGGGGGTCATTACCGGAACGCTGAATAATTCGGTGACCAATCGCACTCAGACAATCGAAGGTTACGTAGATAAGGCAACGCAGCGCTGTGCATGGAATGTTGTCGGTCAAACTCGGCCGATCATGGAGACCGGCATCTCCAACCTTACTGAAGACACAGCCCCCGCACTGGTACATTTCGCCGATGGGGAAACCCAACAATGGCTCATGGTTAGATTGGACGATCCCCAAACCACTCCCTAGCTCTGATAGTTTGCACTAGGCCGGTGCATCGAAGTCAACGCAGTCTCAATAGAGTGAGCAGATATGAAGTTTCTCGTCCAGTTCCGACTCAAGCCAGAAAGCAAGAACAGATTTGTTGAGGCGTTCGAAATGCATGGCCCTAACCGTACTTTGGGAGTGTCGTTTCAGGGGGCATGGGTAGCTACCAGGTCCGACTCAGTCTATGCCCTTGGGGAAAGCGAAGACGAAGCTCTGGTAAAGCAGGCCTGCGAGGCTTGGGAGGAATTTGGCACCTACGACATCCAGCCCGTCGTCGACATCGATAAATTCTGATTGATGACACGGGACAGCACGGAATTTCGAAGAAACCTCTACTCGACACGCATAACTGATTGAAAGCGAGCCCCTCCCCCTCTGGTACCCAGTAATCCCCTATTCCGTGTTCTCAGATGAATGGGTTTACGTTGAGCTGGCTTGGCTTCCTGCTGGTCGACGGCCTCCATGAAACCTGAATGGTTTCCTGGGATGACCGTTGCCGTGGGAACAATACTCACAATGATTGCTGCAGCCAGGACCCCAGAAGCGGTGGCCCACGGATCATCGAACATCGCAGGGTGAAGCTCCATTCACCGAAAAGTACCAGCCTTCATCCGTTCAGACTCCTTGTTCATGCCTCGCGCAGGAGAAGGCCTCTAGCTTTCTGGTCGGCTCAAGTTGAATGCAAGATGATATCTTGACGAGCAGGGGAATCGAGAATTGCCGAACGACTATATATGCGTATCAATCGGCATAAGGTGAGATATAGCCTGTACTGCTACGAAGAGATCGAAGCAGACACTCCAGCTGCCGGCACAAAATGGGCGAGGTGGAAGGACCTGCAAGTCTGACTGCAAACTCTCAGGCCTTTTGAGGCTATATTGGGTAATCCAAGGCCAATTTCGAATAGATACTCCCAATGGGATAGTCGACATCTCTGCTCGCAGCCATTTCTCGTAGCAACAACTTCATTGCAGGTGCACTTATGATCAAGTCGAGGTCAACTGCTTTACGTTTTTGTTTCTTGGTATTACTGCTCATGGGTGGTTCTGTATCACCGCCCACACGTGCAGAAGAGCTTCAAGCAGGCCAAGATGGCTACCTGTTTCACGACTCGCACCTTCACCTCACCAATTACGTCCAAGAAGGCACTGACATTCGTCAATTCCTGGAGATCATGGGGGACAAGGTTGGACGCAGTATGTTGAGTGGCATCCCCTTACAGCAGCAGTGGATGTACGCAAATACCGGCGACTTTGCGCCGACCTATTACACTCAGACCGATGCACCGCTTTATTACTACTCTTTTACCGACGCGATTATTGCTCACGAGTACCTACGGCTGAAGCCAGATGAGCAACAGCGACTGGATCCGATGATCACGGGCTTTAACCCGACGGACATGTACGCAGCGGATCACATCCGCAGAGTTTTGCTAATGTTTCCTGGCGTCTTCTCAGGGATAGGTGAATTCTCGATCCACAAAGAGTTCGTCTCTTCTAAGATCGCTGGGGAGGTAGCGACGCTGAATAACAAAGCCTTGGATCGCATACTTGATTTTGCCGCGGAGGTTGGGATGCCCGTCGTGCTCCACTGCGACGTCAACACACCCTTTCCCCGCCCAAACCAAGACCCTTATATCGTTACAAAACTGAGAGAGTTAGCCGATCGACATTCTGATACCGTCATTATCTGGGCACATCTAGGTCTGGGCCGTGTCGTTCGACCTGTTGAAGACCAATTGGGAATGGCAGAGCGAGGGTTGCGCGACCGCGCGTCCAAAAATATTCACTTTGACATTTCATGGGACGAGACCGCGAAATATCTAGTGGGTAGCCCCGAATCCATCGAGGCGACAGCGGACCTCATCAACCGCTTTCCAGAACATTTCCTCTTTGGAACTGACAGCGTCGCGCCCCAGAACACAGAGCAGTACCTCCATGTCTACAAACTATACAAGCCGTTGCTGGCCAAGCTGACCCCTGAAGCTAGACACCTGCTTCTGAAGGGAAACTACGAGCGCATCTTCGATGAAGCGCGTCGGCGGGTCAGGGAGTGGGAATCCGAGAACGAGCGACCGTGAGACGGTATTGAGGATGTGGAAGGAACGCACTGGAATCGGAGCCACGCAACTCGATGACTAGCATGCAAGTGACAGGCGTCGATGTACTCATCGTCGCGATCGCAGTGCTCTGGGTCGGCAACCGCATCACGCGGGCTGTCCCATTGCTTAGCAAGTACAGTATTCCGATCGCTGTGACCGGAGGGCTGTTTTGCAGTATCATCGTCGCAGCGATAAGCGTCCTAGGCGGCCCAAAGATCGTTTTCGATATGGATATGCGCGACACACTGCTAATGGTTTTCTTCACGACAATCGGCGTCTCGGCAAAACTCTCGCGCTTAGCGGCCGGGGGTAAAGCTCTTGGCTTGATGGCGATTTGTGCGGGAGTCTTTCTGGTGGTGCAGGATTTCACTGGTGTATTACTCGCGAAGGCCTTTGGAGCGCACCCGGGGTATGGGCTGTTCGCCGGAAGTGTGTCACTTGCCGGTGGGCATGGGACAGCGATTGCATGGGGGCAGGAGGCGGAAGCCGCTGGCCTTCAGAACGCGGGCTTGGCTGGCATTGCCTTTGCGACTTTCGGATTGGTTGCGGGAGGTATTATCGGTGGACCCGTTTCTGAATGGTTGATCAAACGAAGGGGCCTCGTACCGAAAGACACATCAAAAGAGACGAACAACGTGGAAGACTCGATCAAGCCTGATGTTTACTCGTTGGAGTCAGCGCTGGGCGTAATGCTCGTGCTCGCGGTGTGCCTCTCCCTGGGTGAGATCCTTAACCGCTGGTTTTTCTCCAACGATATCAAGCTGCCCGGATTTCTGACGGCGATGATGGTTGGTATCTTAGTCACCAACCTAGCGGACCGTTTCGACAATCCATTGCCTGCTGGTCACTTCGAGAAGGTCGGAGAAATTTCGTTGCAGTTATTCTTGGCAATGAGTTTAATGAGCATGGATCTCTCGTCTCTTGCCAATTCTTTCGGTATGATCTTCTTCGTACTGATGATTCAGATAGTCGTCCTCACGCTATTCGCTGTGCTCGTGATCTTCCGCGTGATGGGCCGTGATTACGACGCAGCAGTGATCGTCGGCGGCTTCTGCGGGCTGGGGATGGGAGCTACTCCGGTGGCGATCGCCAATATGAGCGCAGTCACCCGAAAATATGGGCCCTCGTTCAAAGCGTTCCTAGTAATCCCGCTCGTTGGCGCTTTTTTTATTGACTTACTCAACGCACTAGTGATCAAGTTCTTCATCGGGCTACCCTTTTTGCAGCAAGCACCATTGCCCGGGGGATGAACCCGCGTTGCCTCCTACTCATCCAAAGAAGTCGGGGCCAAAGGGCGTTTATACCCTAGTAACGCTTGGACCACCGAACGGATGGCATACAGCAGTTTCAGGAAAGTGCCCCACACTGCGGACAGTCCGATTCTTAGATCCTCCAACGGCGCGACCTGCCAATTCCCTAATGCCTTCGGGAAGCTGTTCATGCCACACTATCCCCCAATATCGCATTTCGTTGAGCTGTCGCGAAATAACGAAGTCTGGGGCAAGCGGACGTGCATTAGCCAGCCAACCTTGCAGGTCGTCGTAGTCCCCGCTTCGTCATTGAGGCTTTGCGGAACGCGGTGACCGATAACATCGACGACAATCCTCGATATGATGCCGAAGTCCAATAGGCAGGCCGTACAGCCTGCCTGTAATCTGCCAATCTATTGCATGTCGCCACATGAACTTGACGGGGCTCCAGGATTGGGTGAAAAGCGATGCTTAAGAAACTAGTTGCCGCGACGCTATGCGTTGTAATGGCAATCGCGCTAGGTGGATGCAGTGAGCCCCCTTCAGAATCTGAATCGATCCGGCCGGTTCGCGCCATTAAAGTGGGAGACCTGAAAGCGATTCAAGGCCAAGAATTCCCTGGTCGGGCGGCAGCGAAAGACGAAGTCGATCTCTCTTTCCAGGTGTCCGGGCCACTCGTTGCACTCAATGTCGATGTGGGAAGCGAAGTTGACCAGCCTTAAATTTCTGTACCACTTGCTATGAAGGTGTGGGTTGGGGTATTTCGCTGTGCTGCTGGAGTGGAGAAGTTGATTGAGGCGTAGCCGAAATCGACTTCGGAACGGAAGCAGCACAGCGGGTCGCGAATTCGGACGGGGTGGCATACCCCAGCGAACTGTGCGGCCTCACGTCGTTGTAATCCTTTCTCCAGGCCGTGGTCAGCTTCCGTGCCGCGGCCAAACTCTCGAACATTTCCATCTCCAAGAACTCATCGCGAAGCCGACTGTGAAAGCTCTCCGCGTAACCATTCTCCCATGGACTGCCCGGCGCGACGTAGTGCGTTTCGACATCGACTTGCTTTAGCCATCGCCGGATTGCACCAGCTACAAACTCCGGGCCGTTGTCCGAGCGAATCGCACCGGGCACGCCCCGCATCGCGAACAGCTCGGCCAACGAGTCGATCACATCTTCGCTGGTGATGCTGCGGTCGACTTTCAAAGCCAAACACTCCCGCGTGTACTCGTCGACGATCGATAGCCACTTCAACGGGCTGCCGGCCTCCGTGCGATCGAACACAAAGTCCCAACACCACACGTGGTCTTTATGTTCGGCTCGCTGAATGTGACAGGCTTGGCTGCTGTCGCCCAAGTAGCGTTTCTTACGGCGTTTCTGTGGCACTTTCAGCCCTTCGCGACGCCATAGCCGCAGCACCCGCGTGTTGCTGGCCTCCCAGTCTTCGCGACGCAATAGCACGGCAATCCGACGATAACCGAAACGCGGTCGAGCGGCGGCCAGTTCACGCATCCGCTTCACCAAAGCCGCTTCGTCATCACGAGACTGCGGCTGGTAACGCTGAGAGCTGCGTGGCTGATCAGTCACCTGACACGCCCTTCGCTCGGAAACTGCGAACACCTCGCGCAGCTCGCCGACCGCCGCTCGTTTCCGGGAAGGGCTCACCAGTTTCCCTCCGCGATATGCTTCAGCATCTTGATGTCGAGTTCTTTCTCGGCCACTAACTCCTTCAGCCGCCTGTTCTCGTCTTCCAGTTGCTTCAGCCGCTTCGCCTCCTCGGCCTTCATCCCACCGTACTGGTTTCGCCAACGCAGATACGTGGCTTCGCTCACTTCCAGGGCCTGCAATACAGCAGCCTGGTCCTTCCCAGCATTGAGCATCGCGTCCGCGTCTCGCAACTTACGAACAATCTGCTCCGGCGTATGCCGCTTACGTCGCTTCGTCGTCATCTCGGTCTCCTCGCTCACATGCGTAAAGACCTTCATAACACCTGGATCAGATTTTCAATAGCAGGTCACTGTGTCACCATGGTGGTCGTCAAGTTAACCGAACCGAACGCCTGGAATTGCACCCTCGAACCATCGCTGGATGGAAGTTCTGCCACGATATGTTTCATCGGTACATTTGTCGTTGTCGCAGTTTTGGGCAACCAGGGGCCGTGGTCCACGAGGACGGAAAGGCTAAGGCTGCTGTTATTTACCACTGGGATGTTGGCGGGCCTATTTGTGCGTCGCAGTAAGAGATTGCCAAAGGCCGTTGGTGATTAGTAGCCTGGTGGGATCCTGATTCTGCGACCTAGTTTATTTGGAGCTTCACATCATGGCCCATTGTGCCTACTACAGGGCACGCCCGGGCTATTGTTCGTAGTGGCTGCCGTGGTGGAAAGACATCAGCGAACCCACCGAAATCCGAATGGGAATGACATCGGCGGTGTTTAAGCCCAAAGAAGTGATGAATCCAGGCCTTAGTTACAAAGCTTAGGCCTCGGGACTTCACTTCCAGTGACACATCGTGTCACCCCCTGAAGTGACGCTAGGAAATCTCTGCTCTCCACCTACAATCCCGATCGGCTAGTGCTTGCGGAATCCCTCCACCTCATGCGGCCTAGCGATTAGCTTGCCACTCATCTGGCCACTTTTCGAAACTGACACTTTCGTCCAGATGGAATTGGGATATGTCTCAGTCACATTACTTTCCAGGCTGCCATTGCGATTACCACAATAATCTGTCGTCTTCGGTGGCGATCAGTGTTGACTCACCCAGACTGAATGCACGCCACCTGAAGAGCTACCTGATTCTCGGAGGTGAAGCGGGCGTCGTCATCCCGGACGAGTTTGTGGGAAAGAAGACAGAGATAAAGTGGAGGTTCTACATCACCAAGGGCTCCGTGAAAGCGTGTGTTAGGCAGAGCCTCCCTGAGGGTGAGCAAAATCTGATTTACCTCTCGCAGAAATCCTGGGAAGCCGGGGGAACCTTTAAGAAGACCCATTGCGCAAAACACTCGCTCACGGTTCCTGAGGGGGATTGCATTGCCGCGTTGTGCATTAGAGCAGATTCGGAGGCTGTTCTCGCACGTATAGAGTTCTCGATGGATTGACCGAGTAGCTCAATGGGGTCGTGGTTGCGGCGGAGAACGGATCGACAAGACCGTCTATTGATTCAAGAGGCGTGTCGTGCTGCTGCAGTTCTCTTGGCTGCTGCCTTGACCAGGCCCCTTGTAACGAGTCTATCGCCTGAGTGCTAACCTCGGAAATTTGACGCAACTGAGTGAGGCATCTGATTCCGCGAGGAGTAAGTTGAATGTCGAGGGGATCATCGCAAAGCTCCGAGTTGAGGAAACTCTTATCTCCCAGGGCAAAAATCATGAACATGCAGAGAAACTGGTCAGAGTCTCGGCTCAGACACTGATTCGCAGGCGATTGGTGTAAGGCGGCCTCCACAGAAATAGGCAAAGACGAATTAGGAGCTCGTAGTGAACAGCGACTTAGTTAATGGAATTCATGAAGCTTCGTTCGTTGCCTAAGCAGCGGGTCTTTAAGGACTTTTCAATACTGTACATCGCTGAGGAGCGAGGTTGCCGTCAAAGGCGGAGCAATCACTGCTCACGCACCTGCTAGACCCAGATTGACTGTTCTAGCCGGTACAGTCTTCAGCTTTCACATTCTGGATCGGCGTACTAGCCACATTTGCAGTCTAAAACGCAGCATATCGCAGCCTGAGGTGTGGCGGAAATCCGCCCCATTTGCTTGCTTCAGCCGCATCCGAAAAGCATCCCACAACGTATGCTTTCAGAGAAACAACGCAGGACGGCCGAGTAACCGATAGCGGCTTAGCTGAATCACCTATCGAAGATACCTCCATCAGCCGTGCAACAGTGATCGGAATGCGCTCGCATCTAAGTGAGCAACGTTGCGACGGATACTCGACGAAACTAGATGAGTTTCCCTGTACGGAGAAAGGCGAGGATGAATCTCAGCCGGATTGTACCACAGATGGAGGGCTCGGATGCTCAGCAAGTCGTTTATGTCGCTTGACTGCGCTGCTCCGGCATCGGACGAGGCGATCGTCTCGGCTAAGATCCTGGTGATCGATGACGAACCGCTGTGCATCGACGTCGTGCGTCTGTACCTCAAAGATGCCGGCTTCATGAGAGTGTACGAATGCACGGACTCTGAGGTCGTCGCGGATGTCGTTCTTGAAGTCGAGCCAGACCTGATTCTGCTGGACGTAGTTCTTGGAGATCACTCCGGAATCGACATTCTGCGGTCGCTTCGCACGGCCAACGCCACGGCTCGCATCCCTGTCATTATGATGACCGCCGCAACGGACCCGAAGATCAAACAAAACGCTTTGATTCTTGGGGCCTCGGATTTCCTGAGCAAGCCATTGGACCCGAAGGATCTGTTGCCGCGGGTCCGCAACTGCATTGCCTCCACTGTATTGCAAGAGCGAATGCGGTCCTACGTAAGGTTGTTGGAGAGTGAAGTCCATCGTCGAGAGGCAGTGGAGCATGAGCTGGACGAAGCTCGGCTGGCCGCAGTCAGAGCCAATCAGGCCAAGACCGAATTCCTGGCCCGGATGAGCCACGAAATCCGCACGCCGATGACGGCTATTCTTGGATTTGCCGACATGTTGATGGCGGACACTAGCCTGAACGAACTTTCCTCGGAATCCACGGAGTGGGTGACCACAATCCGGCGCAACGGCGAGTACCTCCTGGCGCTGATTAACGATATTTTGGACCTGTCGAAGATCGAGGCCGGGCAGCTCCAGGTCGAACGCCTAGCCTGTTCACCAAAGTTGATAGTTGACGAGGTAGTGGAACTGCTTCGACCCAAGGCCACCGCAAAGGGAATCGACCTAAAAAGTCTCACATGCGGCGACGTGCCGGAGGCCATCATCAGCGACCCGCATCGTTTGCGACAGGTGCTCATCAACTTGGTCGGAAATGCAGTCAAGTTTACGGAACATGGTGAGGTGGTCATCACCTTGCGTGCGGTTGGCTCACCCCACGGTCAACAGCAACTGACTTTTGACGTGACCGACACTGGCATCGGCATCGACTCAGAGCAGTTAGAAAACGTATTTCAGGCCTTTCAACAGGCCGATCTATCGACCACTCGGCGATATGGAGGGTCTGGGCTCGGGCTGACGATCAGTCGTCGACTGGCCGAGGCTCTGGATGGCTCGATCTCGGTGGAAAGCCGCATGGGCGTAGGGAGCTGCTTTCAATTGCGTGTTAGAGCGGAGAAAACGCACGACGCCGACGTCGAGCCGGCGAATTACGAGAAGGCAGGCACCCGAACTTCTCATGCTGCTTCAGAGGTTCCTCACGACGCCGCGCTTAGCGGGCTGCGAGTCCTTCTGGCCGAAGATGGCCCAGACAACAGGCGTTTGGTCACCTGCTTGCTTGAGAAGGCCGGTGCCGAAGTAACCATGGCCGAGGATGGCCAGAAGGCCGTTGAGCTGGTCCTCGGTGAGAGGAAGAGTTCGCCGGTGTCCTGCGAATTCGATGTGATTTTAATGGATATGGAGATGCCACGGCTAGACGGCTACAGTGCCACCCGCCTACTCCGAAAGGCGGGCTACCAGCGGCCTATCATCGCATTGACCGCAAATGCCATGCAAGGCGATGAGGTCAAGTGTAAGGAGGCGGGCTGCGATATTTACATCACGAAGCCAATCACGCGCGAGGTTTTGATTGGAGTGATCCTGCAAAACCGAATCGCTGTGGGCTCAGACAGCATGTAGGAGTCGGGTGTGGAAACCTCAGACCCTCGGAAATCACCGCAGGTTTCGTCGTCAGAGCGTGAGTCGACTCGGCGAATTCTGCTTGTCGAAGACTCGACAGTGATTCGCGCTCAGGTCACCGATGTGCTGACCTCTGCAGGCTACGTCGTGGACCAACTGCCGGACGGAACCGGCGTGCAGGCCCAGATCCGAGCAGCGCCGCCAGACCTGATCCTATTGGACATACTCATGCCAGGCATTCCAGGGACGGAGATCTTGGTCCAACTTAAGAAGAACCCTCAGTCGGCCAGTATCCCGGTAATCATGATCACCGCCAAAAGCGACGAGGCGGAGTTGGCGCGCTGCCTTGAGTCGGGCGCAACCGACTTCATAGGCAAGCCATTCGGTGCTGTGGCTCTGCTGGCACGCATCGAATCGGCATTAAAGGCTGGAGACTCCTTACTCGAATTGGAACACGCCAACACAAAACTGCAGTACGAGATCGAGGCTCGTTGGCGTGCAGAGCAGGAACTGGACCGCAGTAAACGACGCTATGGTGTTGCAGTCGAGGCCGGCCGAATCGGACTGTGGGAGTGGGACATCAAGCGGGACACGGTCTACTTGGCTTCGTATCTGCAACACATGCTGTTGTTGGAACCGAATGACCTGCCTCGCAGCTTTAAGGATTGGCTGTGCCGCGTCCACGAGGCCGACCGACACTCGCTCGAGGTTCAGTTCCGTCAGCTTTCCGAAGGTTATGTTGAGGGGGTCGAACTGGAGCATCGGCTCCAACGAAATGACGGATCGGTGATGTGGGTTTTGACTCGTGCAAGGCTTGAACGCGACAAGGCCGGTCTGCCCAGTACAGTCAACGGTGTGCATGCGGACATCACCGAGCGCAAAGCGATCACCGATTCGCTGGCCGATAGCGAGGCCTGGAACAGGTCGGTGCTCGAAGCGGCAGCGGACGCGATCCTAGGCGTCGATGATCAGGGTATAATCCGAAGTTTCAATCGTACAGCCGAAGAGCTTTTCGGCTACCAATCCGATGAAATTGTGGGGCAACCGGTCCATCTTTTGCTTCCGGAGAATCGCCGCGATTGGCACGTTGAGCGATTCGCAAGCTTTATTACCGGCGACTTCGGCGTCGACCTAATAGGCAGACGCCGTGAAGTAGTGGCCCAACGTAAGAATGGCGCTCCGGTCCGCGTGACCCTGACCGTAACGGAAGCTAAGACTGAAGATTCGCGGCTTTTCACAGCAGTTGTACAGGACCTGACCAAGTGGGACTTGCGAGAGGAGGAACTGCGGCAAGCGACCGCAGCGGCCGACAAGGCGAACCGCGCTAAGAGCGACTTCCTGGCAAATATGAGCCACGAGATTCGTACGCCGCTGAATGCCATCCTCGGGTTCGCACAGGTATTGCACGCCGAAGTGCAGGATGCCGATATTCGTCACAAGCTGGATGCCATTTTGTCGAGTGGCTACCATTTGCTGCAACTGATCAATGACATCCTAGACCTGTCGAAGATCGAAGCCGGCAAGATGCAAATCACGCTGGAGGACACATCCCCAACGGACATCGCATGCGGCGTGATCGAGTGTCTCCGCGGACAGGCGAGATCCAAGTCGCTGAAGCTGACTGACATATGGCCGGATGAGATACCGATTACTGTTAACACGGACCGCGCAAGGGTCGCACAATTGCTCTTCAACTTGATCGGCAATGCCCTCAAATTTACCGAAGAGGGTGAAGTGCAGTTGTTCAATCGTTTCGAGGTTCGCAACGAACGCTGTCTATGGCGCATGGTTGTGCGTGATACGGGCATCGGTATTCCTAAGGACAAGTTGGCCAGTATCTTCTCCCCTTTCGAGCAGGCAGACTCGTCAGTAGCGCGCACCCATGGCGGTACCGGGTTGGGCCTGACCATTTGCAATTGGATAACGCAGAATTTGGGCGGCGATCTGGCTGTCGACTCTCAGGTAGGTACCGGTAGCACCTTTGTGGCGACACTCGACGTCGGGGCGGCCAAGCAAATCACCTGGACCAGGCATAACCAGAGATTTAAAGAGTATTCTAATGAATCAGAGTGCTGCTCTGAGACGCAGTTGGACGGCGTGCGGGTACTACTTGTCGAGGATGGCGACACGAATCGCCAGTTATTCGACATCATGCTCCGCCGTTGTGGAGCCAAAGTGATCATGGCCGAAAACGGAGCTGTTGGCCTTCGCACCGCGTTGGAACAGAACTTTGACGTCATATTACTCGACATGCAGATGCCTGTCATGGACGGATATACGGCTGCCACCCGTATGCGTGAGGAGGGCATTGAGACACCTATAGTTGCCCTCACGGCGCATGCCATGGATGTCGACGAACAACGCTGTCGGGACGCTGGCTGCACCAGCTTTCTAAGCAAGCCGGTCGACATGAACCGACTGGTGGCCGACGTTGCCCGGCATGCGGATGTTGTCGTACCGTGTGTGTCCGCGCCAAGGAAGCCTCCCTCGGCCTCTCATACCCCGGTTGAAATTTTACACTCGTCGTTGCCAGTCCACGACCCGGAGTTCCGTGCGGTAGTCGAACAGTTCATTGAGCGCCTCGATGAAAGGTTCAGACAAATGCAATCAGCATTGAGGCAGCAGGACCTAGAGGCTGTGGGGAAGCTGGCCCATTGGTTGGCCGGCTCTGCGGGAACGGCTGGGTTCGGAGCTTTCACAGAGCCAGCACGTGAGCTTGTTGAATTTGCCAAACTTGGACAGACCGATGAGGTCGCGGTAGCCGTCGATCGGATCGGCGAGATGGTCGCCGGGGTCATGCAGCCCACCTGCACATGATCCATTAGACGATACACAGCTGGTCCACTATAGGCATCCTCTCTAAACCAAATTTGACCTTTCCAAAGACATCCCTAGGCGAATCGGACGGGTCTCTACTTTCAACTCGGAGACTGCAAGAAATGGTCCCCAGTGCTTTCAATACCATTACCACAGCAATTGACCAGCTCTCAGGGAACACACTCTTGCAATCCAGCACTGTTATGGTCATCGATGACGAGCCGACCATCCTTGCGGTTGTCGGCAAGTACCTCAAAGAGGCTGGCATTTCGAGGATTGTCACCTGTACCGATCCATCGATGGCCTTAGAGCATATCGCCCAGGTCCAGCCGGACGTCATTCTACTAGATATCCTAATGCCTGAGGTTGATGGCATTACCATCCTCCGGAGTATTCGCGGGGACCGTGACACCCGCACACTGCCGGTCATCATCCTGACAGCAGACACTGACCACGAAACCAGTCTTGAGGCGTTCGAGTGTGGCGCGACCGATTGCTTGCATAAGCCAGTCGACTCCGTTGAGTTGGTCCCCAGAGTACGCAACGCACTAAGAATTAAACAACAGCAGGACGAGATCCGTCATTACACGGCCACTCTTGAGGAACAAGTTAACGCGAAGACCGCGGAACTCCAGCAGGCGCAAAGCGAGCTGATCTACTGCCTAGCCAAGGTTGGAGAATATCGGGACAACGAGACTGGCAGGCACGCAATGCGGGTCGGCCAGTTTTCGGGCATAATTGCGAGAGAATTGGGAATCGACCAAGAGTTAGCTGATTACATCGAGCGCACTGCCCCGCTTCACGACATCGGCAAGATCGGGATCCCCGATGCCATTCTTCTGAAACCCGGAAAGCTATCGGCTGAAGAGTACGAATACATGCAGACTCACGTCCGCATTGGCAAGAATGCGCTTGACTCGAGCCCTAAGGCCGATCTGCGACACATTCGCGATCACGCCCGACTGGGATCGCTCATTCTGGGTGGATGTCGGTCGAAACTCATCGAAGTGGCCTGTTCCATCTCACTAACGCATCATGAGCATTGGGACGGTTCAGGGTATCCACTCGCCCTTGCTGGTGAAGACATTCCGATCGAAGGACGGATTGTGGCCGTGGCCGACGTTTTCGACGCGCTGAGCACCAAGCGCCCATACAAGCCTGCTTACCCGTTCGACAAGTGCATTGCCATTATGGAAGATGAACGCGGTAAGCACTTCGACCCCTGGGTCCTTGACGCCTTTCTGCGTCGGCGTGACGACATCCTCAAAGTCCAGATGGAGTACGCCGACATTAAATAAACCGTTTGCCAGTTTCGCTTGAAATACGTCTTCTACGCGGCCGTTGACAGGAACCGGACGGTCGATGCATTGGAGTATAGGGATTGAGTTACTTTGCTTAGGTAGGCCGATACGCTGGAAGCTAACTTACAATCCCCTCTAAAGCGTCATTTTAATCGTTCGACTTCCTTTAGTAGGGCGGACATCTCTCGCGAAATGTCCACCTTTTTTTCTGTGCGATTCTCTGAACCACGGCGTTCCGAGACTTTCTCGGACCCCAAACGACGACGCACTTCGATTACGGCTCGTCTCCGCCGCTCGGGACTCACCAGTTCCCCTTGGAAGCTTTCTTCAGGATCTACATGTCCAGAGCCTGTTCGGCCACTAGCTTCAGCCGGGCGTTTACTTTCTCAAAAGTCCGCAGTCGCTTGACCATCTCCGGAGCCATCCCATGTACTTCTGACGCCAGTGGGAATACGTCTGTTCGGTGATCCCAAGCGTCTTTCAGATCACCGGCACCTTCTGGCCCTTGCCAAAAGAAACGTCTGCTAAACGCACCTTTTCAATGATCTGCTTGGTCGTATTCCTAGTTCGCTTCATCTGAGAGAATCCTCTCCGGGCTTCGCACGGTCTACGATTCTCTCAGTTCAATTGGCACGACTTAAAGAAGAATGACCACCATTCAATTCGCCCCGAAAATCCATCCACACTTCGATCACGTCCTCAACCGTACCCCGCCGTTACTACAAGTTGCATAGGTTGCATCGGTCTGCGCGGGTTCACACCCGGACCAAGTACACACTTGTCGTCCTTGTAGGTACGCTAGAGGCATCTATGCAGCCGGCGTGGGCTGCCAATCTGACCAATCGACAGGAGGTCTTGCAGGAGGCCGACCGAGGCCGCAGGCGGGCGGAGCCGGGACGGAAGCAGATGCCGACGGCCTGGAGCCGTCACCATGTCTTACAGCTTTGAGAATGTCGCCATTAAATACATGGCCGCTAAGCAACTCTCGTCAGGTACCTGCAAGGAGTATCGTGGCACGGTCACGAAGTGGCTCGCGTGGGGAAGAGGTCCCGATGTCGATCAAATTGGACGAGCCGACATCCGCGATTTCCTCGACTGGGTCCACGAAAAAGCTGCCGCCGACGGCGGGTCTAATGCCGGCCGCACGGCCAACAAATCCCGGGAGAATCTAAGAGCGATCTTGTCGTGGGCCTGGGAGCAGGACTTCCTAGAGAAACTACCGCGGTTTCCAAAGCCTAAGCCGCAGCGTGACGTCGCCGGACGGCACTACCTCACGAAGGCGGACTTGAATGCGCTCTACTTTGCCACGTACGAACTGGAGCGTCCAAGAGGATGGAGACACTCGCTGACGGTCGGCCACTATTGGCGAGCGGCCTTGGTCGTGTTCTTCAACTATGGGGTGGACACCGGGACGGTCTTCAAGACTGCCGCATTCCATGAGCCCATTCTGTGGCGGCACGTGTGCTGGCGACCCGAACCACCAAACGGCCAAGGCAAAGCCTCTCGCTACGGTTGGCTGTACTACCGCCGTGTGAAGACAAAGAAGCAATTCTATCGTCCTATGAGTCGGGTTGTGCAGGTGCATCTCAAGAGCTTTTATTCCGATATGATCGAGCCGGACCAACCGGTTTTTCATTGCGGCAGTTCACGTCCGAACGCGCAGTTTCAACAGCTCTGCGCTTTGGCCGGAGTCAAGCCGAAGCAAGACGTGGAAACAGGTGAAGAGAAGCCCTGGGTCCTAAAGGATCTGCGGAAAACGTGCGCGACCTACTACGACGAGCACATGCCGGAGTCGTCCATCGAGATTCTGGGGCACTCCGTGGGCGGCGTGACGTACCGGCACTACGCTCACCGTGATCCGCTGGCCTACAAGGCGATCATGTCGATGCCCCAGCCGACGGCGTTTACCGCGTTGGTGCACGGGTTTGACGGTGAGTGTCCGTGCTGTCGGCGAAAGTTCAGGCAAGCATAGCTTTCCACAGGTCCCGTTGTTCCTGGTTCAGGTGTGGAAGTGCCATCATTCGGAGAAGAAAGATGAACGATCCACTTTGAATGGTGTGTTCGATCTTCGGCTCAATATGCAAGTCCTTCGTGTCCAACAGGAATTCCTTGATCGAGGTGTCGCTCACACGGCATGGGCTCTTACCTGCTCAATGTCCTTAAGTCGAATTATTCGAGACTTGTTTCTAGGATAGTCTACACATTCTAGATGGATGTCCTGGACGTCTTCTCCGACTCGAACCCCGACCGGTGTCACTACGTGTGTGATTGGCAGATCTGCTTGAGGGTTGCGTTCAACGATTTCAAGCATTGCACTGTCCGCCATCGCTCTGAAGATGTCCCAATACCCCCGGATAACTCCTTTCGATTCGCGAGCCACGGTAGCCTGCAACATGCTGCGAAGTCTCTCAACTTTGAGGCGCTCATCCATCGGAAGCTTCTTCAGAAGTGAATCTAGTCCGGAGTCAATTTCCTTGGGCGTATCAGTATATAAAGGAGACGTTAAACAGGAAGTCACCAGCAAGAGAAGCTGTACCACTGAGAGGCGTGGAGGGGTCGCGATAGCGTTGTAGATCTTGAGGCAGCCGCTATCGGTGTCATATCCTATTTCGATACCGGCGTTTCTAAGCAGGGCGAAGTCTCGAAAGACAGTTCTGCGACTCACGCCAAACTCAGCGGCGAACCGGCCCGATGTGCAGGGTGCAGATTCTTGTGCAGCCCGCATTATCTGCAAGACACGCTCTAATTGGGCCGTACGCATGGTCTACTACCCATCATGCTGTATGATGCCATTGCCGCGAAATCAAGCTGCGACGGATTGACTGGTCCCTGCCGCAGTCGGCACCGCAGCTGGTGGCTGAATCTGGGCCATTTCGGTCCAAAACGATTGATCTTCTTTCGTCTTTCGTCGTTGAAACTCCGCGTGTTCAAGAGCGATCGCTTTGGACTCCAGCAGTTCAAGTGATTGAGAGCTGAGGTGCTTTGAAAATAGCTTGGGCAGCCAATGACGATGCCATGTCTTGTCTGTGAAACAGATCCGAGCGATGACAGCATGATTCCTCCACACACCTTCCCATCTCGTGGCGTAAGGGAATGAATGCCGAAACAGGTGTCTAGCCACTGGGCCGGTGAGCTGTAGGATGGGGATGTCTTGAAAGAAAGCTTTGACGGCGATTGCCGCTTCAGAGGCCCCCCATCCTTGCATCGCCTCGCTCCACCGCACTTTCTCATAGATGCTCCTGGGCATAACGTACCCAGGAGCACGAAGGGTGTTCGAGGTGGTAACTCGGCTCCTTGGCTTGCGAAGTTTCCATGTCCCCGAAAAGTAGCCATTTCGGGGGCACAACGAGAACTTGGCTCCATGTGTCGTCCACGAGAATCTTCCGAATCCTCGAACACCTGGGCTCACAATAGCGGATTCTCGGCAGGCCAATGACACACACTCATCGATACAGCCAGGGCTGAGTCTCTGGTGGCCATCAAGGAAGCAGAGAGTGCTCGCTCGAGCAATTCCAGCACCACGATTACGAGACGGGGCAACTCCCATCCTCTTCGAATGATGAAAAACCCGGACATTCGGCCCTTCGATTACCCGACATGACCCATCGGTTGAGCCATCATCAATGACAACAACCTCGTGTGGAATCTTCGTATTCTCACGAATGGATCGAAGTGTTCGATACAGTTCAGTACCTTCATTGTAGGAGGTGACGATTATCGACACTTCGGGCAATGCCACTTCATCTGATGTGCTTGACTTCTCAGTGCCCATGATGGACTTCACATCTATCTCCCTCGGATTGCTATACCCACAGCAGAACGAACGTCACACAGATGATCAGTGCGACTACGAGGCTTGCAAATGCCTTCCGACTTACACCGGTGTACGCCCCTAATTGACGGATGACATCGGTGTGCACCATTGGAGTGGGGTCAGGAAATGGGCGATCTGAACTCGATTTATTTCGTCTGGTCATTGTTTGGTTCTTTCTCGTGTGTGAGCCATACGGGGCTGCCAATGTGAGCAAACATCCTGTCTCGAGCTTACGGATTCAATTCGCGCTCGAAGCCGGCAGGCCAAGGGCCCACCCGGGGTCTCGATGTCTCAGGACCAAACAGGCCCGGTCTCGAGGCTGCTTCCGCGAGCAGAGGCCCTAATCGCGATACATCTGGATCTAGTTCAGGCTGACGTAGATAGCAGACCCTCAAGTTACTCGCCTGCTTGAAGGCCTGGCCTGCCGCCATCATTTCATCGCAGGCAACGGCGGGATCGTATTCTTCCTCGATACCAAAGCTTACGTAGTGAAGTATGGGTGTTCCGGCAGACCCGACAGGATCTCGTCTCAGATGAAACGCGAGTGCCATCCGTGGTGAATCTTCCCATCGTCTCCAGACGGTGAGGCAGCCCGCGTTGATGTTTCTGACGCTATGAACCAGCGTCATATTCTCGTAGTAAAAAGGAAGCGTCTCTCTGAATAGTTGAATGCATTCGATTAGACGCTGTTGCTGGTTAGCTTCTTCCCAGCCTGGGGGTAACAAAGTGGGTCCGCTTGCCATAGCGATTCCTTCGATCTAAGGGATGCGGCGAGTTACAGGGGCATTCTTGCAGCAGCGATGATCTCATCCAATGATCTTGCGGAGTATGTCCGTGTCATCGAGAGGTCGAGTTCGCTTTAGTGTTTGTTTTGCTTGGAGGTGAGCCTCGTGCAAAAATGTGGTCAGTAAGTTTGGACTGGCATGCTGCGGAATACATCCTGAAAGGTTAACTTGATTGGTTAATCCTTCGCTCTCGATCACCTCCTCAGTCAAGAGCAAGATCGCAGCATGGGGAACTGCGTCGCGTAGAGCCTGCAGTTGCCCATGATCAATCGCACCGGCATGCTCAGTGCCAATCAAAACAACATCCGGAGGATCGTTTTGGATCGTCTCGATGGATTCTCCAATGGTCTGAAGCACGTTGCGAATGTGAATGCCCGACCCTTCCAACATGTCGATCAATCCGGCAACGACAACCGGCTTCGTATGTATGATGACTAGTTCCACGCACAAACCATTCAAGAAGTCTTTGAAGGAGGCATCAACAAATCTGATATTCCGAAATGATGCATTAGGTGTTTGATTTCATATCTGGCTGCACCAATCTCACGACTTGCCAAGAACCGTTGGGCCTGGCAAATTCGGCGTTCGGCGTCTGCAAGGTTAGGGCCTTCGGTTCGCGATGGATCGGTAGTTGCATTCGACCGATGCGCACCTTCTACGTGCCTAACTACCACGCTAAGCAGTCGATTGAGATCCTCGATTAGTTCCTCTTGACGGTCTGATTCCCGACGAGCCGCTCCCACGGGTCAATTCATCCAGCGATTAGAGTTTACGTCTGCCCCTGCAACACGCTGCTACCACCCGCAGTGCGAAACTGATAGGCAGACGTGCTCTACAAGCATCAACGCAGATTGGTCAACACAACCGACAACAATTTGTGACGAAATCCACGCAACGTGGCCTGGTAGAAACTGGTTGGGCCTATTCGTGAGGCACGAGAAGCCAAATTGCTACATAAGGAGGGCTAAAAGGCTGATCAAGGATTGCGAACGCTGTAAACTCTTACTCAAATGGGGATTGCGCGGACTGTATTCAATATGGAATATGCTGGCTATTAAATCGGGAGCGGATTGTGAGCGGTGAAGATTCGGTAACTGCTTGGATTGCTCAGGTCAAGAACGGAGATCCACACGCGGCGCACAGAATTTGGTCGAGGTATGTCAAGCGGTTGGTGGACCGAGCGAAAATGAAATTGCGAGGTTCAATCACTCGGGTGGCTGACGAAGACGATGTAGCTAGCCTGGCGTTCACCAAGTTCGTTTCTCATGCAGGCAAAGGAGGATTTACGCAATTGGCGCATCGGGATGATCTTTGGGCAATCCTCGCGACGCTGATCGACCATGAGGCAATCGACCACCACAGAAAATATTCGGCCCTCAAACGTGGGCATGGGCTAGTGCGTGGAGATTCTGTGCTTGAGCACATAGAAAATAATTTCCCAGCGACGGACACATCGATCGCCCCAGACGCTGCTGTCATTAGCGCTGAGGAGATTGCATGTCTTTTTCTAATGCTCGACTCAGAAGAGTTGGAGCAAATCGCCCTGGAACGAATGGAGGGGTGGACTAACGCAGAGATTGCTGAGAAGCGCGGCATGACCGTTCGGAGCGTGGAGAGGAAGGTGGCGGTCATCCGGAAGATTTGGCAGAAGGAACTCTCCCCATGATTCATCGCAGCAGCCGCTCTTGGGGCAGTCAGGAAATAGAGGATGCTCGCCTAATTGACAAGATCGCCTCGGAATTCGAACAGCAATTTCGAGAGAATCGATCTCGGCCGATAGAATCCATCTTGAGTGAGGTTCCGCCGGCACTACGGGTAGCGTTGTTTCGTGAACTCATTGCAATCGAGATAGAGATCCGTTCAGGAGAAGATGAGAGCGTAACTTATTCAGAATGCCAAGTCCGTTTTGGGGAGTTGGCCGAAGAATGCCGGGATCTGTTCCTTATCTCAGATCCGCCAGAGCTTGATGGATTTGAGATCGAGTCGAGCATTGGTATTGGCGGGTGTGGACAAGTTTATCTCGCACATGACCGAGACCTGAACCGCAAAGTAGCCATTAAGCTTCTTCTCAAAAAGAAAACAGCTAATGCGGATGGGCATCGCCACGTTCTGCATGAAGCTCGCGCGGCAGCCAAGCTGCAACATGCGTCGATAGTGCCTGTTTTTCAAGTTCGCAGTGATCGAGCAGGCCGTGCTTGCATCATCATGGGGTATATCGCGGGAGAGTCTCTGGCCGACCGCTTGAAGCACGGCCCACTCCCTCTCTCTCAAACACTTGACATCTTGACCGCAGTATCCGATGCGGTCCACTACGCACATTCGCAAGGTATTATCCACCGTGATCTCAAGCCCGCGAATATATTACTTAATGGA